ATTTCTTCTTGGTGACTCACATCCAGGGTACAATCTAGGATAACAAAGAAATATTTGGCCACTTTGGCAATCTTGATATAGAATTTGCAACGACGACAACCATAAAAGAAAGATGCATGTGCACATGCCCATGCATTGCACGGACCAAGATGCATTTATGTCTAAGACTAGCAAGATGTCCATGCGTTGCACAGACCAAGATGCATTTATTTTACAAAAACTGTTGTGATTGACCCATGCGGGAGTAATCTCATGTGTAAAAACTAACGACATCTGCAGGTTTACATAACTCAGCACATACACCGCTGATGCAGACCCTCTCCGACTCTGACCTCCGCAAGCACGTCGACAACGCCATCCGTGTCCCAACAACTCAGACTGAGCGGAATGGGGGAGACGAGAAAGAGGAGAGATAAGGTGAGGAGTGGGCTGCGGTGCTGGTAGGTGGTCGGACTGAACGGAGGCATGGGGATGGACGCCGCCGACAGCTGCCGCCATGCCAGATTGTTAATTGCTCAACAATGAGGTTGTGGGAGATAAGGATGAACAAGGAAGGCCTTATATGCAAATGTGAAGAGAGGTGCGGGTACCTTTTTACAAAATTGCCATAGTTTGTTTTCTATCCGTCAGATATAGATCAGACGGTATATATTGTAGGATAGCAGGCACACCATCATCACCAAGTCTTTTTATAAGAGTAGAGATAATGATAATGAATCTCTTTGCTTCTACAATCATCTCCACACAAGCTAAGACATTACCATTGGAATCATCATAAAGTTGCTCGTTTGATCCTCTAAAAGTCAAACTGCAATTACCAAGAAATTCCACAATGACAACTATTCTGAATAAAACTTGCCTTATGTGTTCCGTCTCCTTTGTGATTTGCCGTTGTGACTTTTGTCAATTGTTTCATGCTTGCTTAGTCTAGTTCTCGTTTTATTCCAAGAGTTCATATTATCAATATGCTTGACACTATCCTCATGTTCTTTCAGTGTCTCATCAGTATGCCTCTGATCACTAAATTCATCATGCCCCAATGAACTCTTGCACTTCATAATTGAAAAGCTTACAACAACAAAAACACTTTATTGGCGTGTTTTGAATAAAATAACCATTTTCTATCACACACACACCTCTTCATTGCTCATTTTTCTATAGTAAGAATGGCTATACGAAAAATGTCTTGAATTTCCATCCAAAGAATATTCAAAATGTTCTTCCATTTTAGGTCCCTTGTTCAGCTCGTTTGCCTCCACCTAAAATGGAAGAGAAAAGACTGGAGAAGGGGCCTAAAGTGGAAGAAGAAAATACAGTGTCCTTTGGATGGAAATCGAAGACAGTTTCCGTATAGCTATTACTCTAGAAAATTGAGCAATGGAGATATGTGTGATAGAAAAAGGTTAGTTTATTTGAAACACGCCAATAAAGTGTTTTTTTTTGTTTTAAGCTTTTCAGTTCTGAGAAACGCAAGAGTTCATTGGGGCATGATGGATAGTAATTGGAGACATAACCGAAAGAACATGACGCTAGTGTCAAGCATATTACCAACATGAACTCTTTGAATGAACTGAGAATTAGAATGAGCAAGCATGAAACAATTGACAAACAGCTACAACAGGAAAGGAGAATGAATTCATAAGGCAAGTTTTATTAAGAATAGTGGTCATTGTGAAAAAAAATCATATAAGCGCAATTCGGCTTTTAAAGGAAGAAGAAAATACATTGTCCTTTGGATGGAAATCGAAGACAGTTTCCGTATAGCTATTACTCTAGAAAATTGAGCAATGGAGATATGTGTGATAGAAAAAGGTTAGTTTATTTGAAACACGCCAATAAAGTGTTTTTTTTTGTTTTAAGCTTTTCAGTTCTGACAAACGCAAGAGTTCATTGGGGCATGATGGATAGTAATTGGAAACATAACCGAAAGAACATGACGCTAGTGTCAAGCATATTACCAACATGAACTCTTTGAATGAACTGAGAATTAGAATGAGCAAGCATGAAACAATTGACAAACAGCTACAACAGGAAAGGAGAATGAATTCATAAGGCAAGTTTTATTAAGAATAGTGGTCATTGTGAAAAAAAAATCATATAAGCGCAATTCGGCTTTTAAAGGATCAAGTGAGCAACTTTATGATGACTCCAATGATAATTCCGTAGCTTGTGTGGAGATGATTGCAGAATTTTACTTGGTAATGCAAGAGCATCTTAGATGTATTCAAACAAAGAGATTCATTATCATTATCTTAGCCACAAAATTCAAAATGAGTTGATTTTTCTTATGGTTGTTGACGTTACAAATTTTATTATCAAGATTTTTGAAGTGGACAGATATTTCTCTATTATCCTAGATTTGTAATCCGGATGTGAGTCACCAAGAACAAATGAGTATGTTGGTTTGATGTGTTCATATGTTTGATAGGAAAAAAATTGAGTACTTGGGTTTTAAAAGTGGTTGACACCATCTACTTTGGGACTTTTCATGGTATTAGTCCATTCTA